GCTAAAAAAAAATTATCCTCCTCGCCAGTGTTTCCCCAAACACTGATAGAATAGGTTGTTTCCAATGAACACAACCTACCACCGTGGCTACCGGTCCTGCGTTAGTGATGGACACAGCATAATGGTAGTAGACAAATGTCCCAAGTCTAAAAATAGATATGGTGGCTAGAAATGATCGAAATGCATCAATCATTCAATTTTCGGGCCCTAGTTCGTTTTCGTTTGGTAGTAGTACGACAGGGCAATGTAACATCACCTAGGGTAGTGGCCGAACGCGACTGGGGTAAATGACAGTTTCCTTGAACACTTCCCGTCGTTTGTTAGTTTTGCTGGGTGGCTCAGAGTCACTTGCACAACCAATTTTCGAGGTGAAGCTTCTTCAGGATTAATTGCCTGTCTCCGTTTTCGTTTCCTGGTTTCACTGAGTGATTTTGGATCTCCCTGTTTAACTGGGGCACGAGACGCAGATTTATCAGGCGGCGCGATGTCCAAACCACAACGGATTCGNCTTTTTCGGTTGAGCTTCATCGTGATGGTCTAGCTCGGGCAACGGAATCTGGCGTCCCAAGAAAAACTCACAAAGTTTATCAAAGACTGGCGCAGGTGGCGTTTTCCTCGCATATTACCGTTTAATATGGGCTAAATGGACCGAAACTTCACGAGTTTCATTCTGGCGTCTCACTCTATATACCACAGGTGATCATTGGGAGCAGATGACGTAAGGCCCACGCCACGGTAATAACAGCTTCGGATTTGGTCCATCCGAATCCTGGTAGGGTCGGTACACAAGTACTAAATCGCCAGGTTCAAACACAGGGATAGGGTGTAGTTTAGCATTTTTGGCAGCTTGTTTTTGTGAGCGTCCCTACAAGTTACGGCGCGCTAGTTCAACGCAAACTGTAGATTTTCCTGTGTCGTTTTAGAAAATTCTTCGGTATTTGCTGTTGTTCCTTCATGAGGAATACCGAGAATAATGTCAACTGGTAGACGTGGCTTCCGACCAAACAAAAGAAAAAACGGCGTTTCGTGCATGGTGGAGCTAAAAGCTGTGTTGTAGGCCAGTTGAACAAAAGGCAGCAGTGATGCCCAGTTACCGCGGTTCATGGAACTATGCAATGCAAGCATTGCATGCATGGTTACATGTACTCGTTCTGAAACGGAATTACCCTGAGGACGATATGGGGTCGTGCGGGTCTTTTTATAGTTCAGAATCCGCTGTAGTTGCTGGACTACACTGTTTTCAAACTCAGGACCTTGGTCGGAATGCAAAATTTCAGGCGATCCAAAGATGCCAATGATGCGGTCGATAATGGCCTGCGCGACAGTGACTGCTGACTTACTGGGAATTGGAGTCAACACGGTGAATCGGGTTATGTGGTCCATCATGGATAGGACGTATTTGCACCGTACCCCGGCGGCTGAAACTGATTCCACTTTATATTCGACTAGATCAACCGAAATACGTTCAAACGGTCTTTGTACAGGTACATGTCCCGTTGGTAATTTGTTTCGATTGTGGGCCGTTTTACGACGTTGACAGGCTTGGCATTCTTGACACCAAGTACGAACGTCCCGATTCATGGTTGGCCACCAGTATTTTTGGCGGACCTTCTCATAAGTCGGTCTAGACGCTAAGCGACCTCCAGATAATACGTGGTCGTGATAGGCGTGTAACACGAGTCCTGTGAGGGCTTGTGGCAACACTAATTGGTCACTAAACGTACTGCGCTTGCGGAGGTGGCCCGGTAAATACGATTTGAACAGCAACCCATCGCGTATAGAGTAGTACGACATGGAAGTTGTTGTTTCGTTATCGGTAGACGGGCGTCTTGTTTTGTATGGTAGTCGACATATGTGCCATATTCAAGAGCTTGTTTCTCACGCAAGACATCGCGCTCTGTATCGAGTTAGAATTTCAACCATATCTGGCTCCCCTGGCTTCCCTGAAAAAGCGATCTCGTTCGGGAGGTCGTTCTGTCGGAAAGTAAATTTTTGAGTTTGGCCAGATGTATGCGTTGAAGTGGGGGTGCCTACAGGCATAGAAAAGTTTGCAAGCTGGGGCGTGGACGGTGCTACAGGGTTGCTAGGCCTGTGTGTACTATCCTCACTATGCGGAGTAGATGCCAACTCGGGGGCCAGGCTGCGGGGTTGCACGGGTGAGTTCTGAGTTGCAGCGGGCAAGACTGGTTGGCGAAAAATGAGACCTGTGGAGGTGCTACCTCCCCTGTTCTGATTTTGTTCAACGGTATTGCTACGTGCTGTAGGAGGGTTCACCTGAGCAACCTCTTCTGCAGAGGCCGGAGTTGCAGTGGAGGTCTGGGAGGTAGGTCGGAAAAGGGACACCAGCCACGCGGGTGGGGTGGAGCCCTCCTGCCAATGCCGAGCTAGTAGATCGGAGAACTGGCCTCCTGCACTCGCCATCAACGCCTGACGGTCGTCGGGCGATACATCCTGCGCCCGAAAGCCCTCGAGCAACTGGCGCATGATATGTAGGTCATGCTCATCGTCCAGCGGTTGGCCATCAGCTTCCTCGCCGCTGCTGTCATCGTCGCCATCGCCTTCGGGTGTTTCACCCTTCACAACATATTCGCCTAATTGAGAGCGAAGTATCTGATTGAGAGCGAGAGCCAAAAAAATTGAAATTTCGGGTTCAGACGCCTCTTGCCATTTCTTGGCAAGTAGGGGACGGGCTATTCTAAGAAGCGGTGCAAATTGAAGGTCTCATCAGCAGCTTCGCGAGCATATGCGTGTCATCGTCATCGGATGCTGCAGCGAGGAGCTAGACAAGTTGCTAGATTTGCCCAGATTGGCTATTTCTGCTCAAACTGTTTCAGGGCGGTATCGCGTCGGGCGGTGGGCTCTGCTGTAGCTTCTGCTCCCCGCTGTAGCTCCACAACGAGAGACTCCCACAGGATGACCAGGGTAGCGGCTTGAAGCTACGGGCTAGCCCTTCAATTCAAGCTACACAGCAAGCTCCACCTCTCAGTGGTAGTCCGGCTACAGCGTATCGCGCAATCTCGCTCTCAATCAGATGCTACGCTCTCAATCAGGCGAATATGTTGTTCCTTCGCTTCGCCATCGTGCTCGTCGTCCTCGGGAATGGGCTCGTGCTGAGAGCTAGTTCCCCGAGGCCTTGGGGCAGACACCCGTTGCGGAGGGGTGCCCCTGCCCGGTGGTGTAGAAGACGAGCCCGACTGCTGTGACGTCGAGGTGGCAGCGGCGGCAAGCTGTTACCGGAGCCTCGCAAGCGCCTCCTCCTTACGCGCTTGCGCAGCGGTTTGCTCATCCGCGCGCTGTTCCGCTTGTTCAGCTCGCTCACGTAGTTTTTGCTTTTGCGAGCTCTTGGTGTTGGGCATCGCGATTCCTCTTCTTGTCCTTTCCGTCTCGCTACGAATCACGGCGGAGCCGACGCCAATGAGGACACTAGTCCCTGTCAGAGACAGAGGCCGGTGCTCTGGCAGTATTCTCCCACTGCCAAGGGTGGCTATTTCCTTTCGTGAGATGTGACGAGGAGAGAGGTACAAAAAGAGAGTGACCAGAGGGGCGAGAGGGGCGAGCCGGAGGCTCCCCCATCTCTTCCCTCGGCAAGCGGCCATGGACTTCGGAAGAGACAAATCTCCTCGGTGCTTTACTTGCCACTTCTCCCGATGGCAAGTTACCCCGAGGAATCATATCTTCCTATACTTTGTATGTGCACAAATGGTTGGTTATGTATTCCGACAGGTGTCCTCCACATAAAGTGGTAATTTTCAAGGACCCGATTTTGGATGTCCCTCCACAACTTTTGACTGAGAGCGAGTAAAAGAAAAAGAAAAACAGCATCGGAACACCCGCGGCAAGGCGCAAAAGAGTAGCGAGTCGCCAAAAAAAGAAGGAAAAAAAGAGAAAGAAAAAGAGAAAAAGATGCTCGCGGCGGGTCTCGAACCCACGAAATTGGCCCTAGAGCAACTTTTCCCCCATATATGTCGCTAATCCTTTTTTTTTTTCGCACCAAACCACCCACACATGCACAGGAACGCCCTCAAACACTATGCAAATGCCTCTACCGCACCTATAACGTAAATACATCACAAAAATTGGCCGTTTTCAACAAAAATGTTCCATTTTTGTACAACATTCCCACCAGAAACAAGGAAAAAAACTGAACAAATACAGCTCAATAAACAAGAATGCGCCATCGACTCTACGGCCTCCATTCCTTCGGGGTCGGGCGCCTGTGCGACTTATACTTCTTGTACGTCTCCTTGCCCTCAGGCCCTTGCACAGGCGTCTCGCGGTACATGAGGGCGTGTGTGTACGCCTTCTTGCAGTAGCC